AATTGTTTAAAGTTCATTTTTGTAGAAAATTGAAGCAATTCTTTATCCTAGCGAAAGAAGTGTCAGTTTTAGTTGTATTTTTTTTATCTACAATATGTTTTTTATTGTAATATATATATATATATATATATTTAATTTTTTTCCACTCTCAGGCACAGAAATGGTCATTCAATCATCAGTGAAGAGTCGTACGTTACAACAAATACTGGTTAGTAAAACTTGTGTGTATGTGCACATTAGTATACTGCATAGAAATTGAAATGATAATCATAATTTATAATATATCTGTGATAAGGCTAAATTATTGTTATAAAAGGATGTCAGTCATTCCTCATAATTTATTGTTATACAAATCAAGCATCTGATTCTCAATTATGTGATCTGAAAGACAAATGATTGATCATTTAGCTTATACCATAAACAATGGTCTCACACAGTCTTTGAAGTGAATCACAGAATATAAAGTATTCCAAACTGACCTTGAACCATGGCTAGAACTTTCAGAAGTCACCAACAGCCAAATAATAGATATAAGCTTTGAATAAAATCAGATTCAATTCTATTTTACACACAATAATGTGATGCACATGACTTTGGTAGAATGTACCAACCCCTTGATGATACAGGATAGTTCCATTAATGGGACACTTTAAACATACTTCATCCTTTGACCCTTTGTGCTGGTGACTCTAGCCCTGACTTGGGCCTAATAGGTAATACCATCCACCAGTCTACATATTATTTCAAAAAGTGAGGATTGACTCAGTAGAGTAGTCTGCATTCTCACCATCAATGGATTGCTCTTTGAAATCCCATTATTATTTCATCAAGCAACTTCAGACATATATAATCTTCTGTACACAGTGTTCAGCCACATGTATATAGGTGAATCCAGTTGTCCAATACACGATCATTTCAAAGAACACATTTGTGCCAATGGAAATCTTGACAACAGAAAAGTATTGCTGAACATTATTTAAAAGAACACAGCACAATCAATGGGACACCTTATACAATCAAAATTTTAGAAACTTGTGACAATTTTCTCGAATAAAAAAATATAATTTGATTCAATCCAGACGCCCTTCCAATCATAAAAATAGAGAAAATGATAATAATAACATAAAAATTGATAAAATCATAATGATAAAATTAATAACAATAATAATAAAATGTTAAAGGGGCCAGGTGTTGTTCCTATTAACAACGACTCAAAACTCTTCGACTATACTCGATTCACATACTCTTTTCTGTTATATTGTTGTAACTGTATTTTGTTTTCAGTTATGTAATTTAAAATCAGTTTGGTAATCTGTGACCTTCATAGACCCTTGATAAAGGCGTAAGCCGAAACGTTAGGTACAAGTAATTAAACATTTTTTGTGAAGTTATTTGTCATCTTCATTAAATAACAGTTTCTATCCTTCTGTCAGCACTGAAAATTTTAAAAATAGTGACATTTTTTTTTATTGTGAAACAGTAATTTTGCCTTGTCATAGCTAAAAAAAGTAAAATTTCAATTATCTTTTTTATTCTTTTATGGAGTTTAGGTGTCTAGTACTTGATTATAATTGTTATATGATTAAATGTACAAATATATATTTGTAATAAAGGCAAACCACAGTATATAAGGACATTCTTTCCTGATTCAGTATTTATTTATTCAGATAATAAAGTTTTTTTTATATTCATTAACAAAAACAGTTCATTACATGATTTTAGTTTTAAATTTTCATCTACAGGTTTTAAAATTCATCATGCATAAAGTTATAAGCATCATCCTATTACATGGAGTGGAAATTTTAATTGTTATTTATTCATTTTGTTATCTATCAATAATAATACATTTACTTAATACGTTAATGATGTACAAATATTTCAAAATATTTTAATAGGCAAGATTCAGAGATTCAACAACAGTTCCTCTCTTGGACCAATTTTCCTTTAATATACAAAAATTGACAAATTTTTCATTATGGTGTTTTTAATTCTTAACATAATTAAGTTATTTTATTTAACTTTTTTCTTTGTAAACTTGAATATTTTAAAAAACTCTTTAATGTAGCTTTTAATAAATACTCTAATTCCTAATAAACAAGACTGACCTATATATTTAATATTTTTTTGGATATTGTACTTGAAAAAATAAATACTTGCATATTTTAATTATGAATATCATCTGTCAGCAAGTTATAAAAGTTAATGAGAAACATTTTTTCATATTAGCTGTTTTAAAAAGAGATTATTGTCCTTCTACCTCCCTAATTAATTACTGTGTTGTTTCCAGACCTTTCTTCACCATCAGATTTGTGTTCATATGATGATTCTGTGAAGGTTGGAGGAATTCCAAGAGTTAAAAGGGTATGTGAGTTGTGGTTTAAATGAAAAAATAAAACTTTAAACCATTACAATTTTTGTTACCTCGAGTTTCTTTTGTTGTTGTTTTTTCTCAAAAATGATAGACTTAGATAGTTGTAAGTCTATTGTTCACAGTTTGGGGTCATGGGTGTGTTATGAGGGTGATGGTCAAATCCCACTATTCCATCAGATAAGAGTTATCTGTGGACATTGTTGACTAGCTACCTTGCCTCTAGTCTCTTAGTTCAAAATTAGGGATGGCTTTTACAGATGGCCCTTGAGTAACTTTGTCCAAATATCTGAAAACAAACAAACATAATGGACACTTCTAACAACGTAATCACTAAATTTTATTTTGATGACATTTTGCAGTACAAGATCTTGCCCTACAAAGTACTGAACATAGGAGACCACATGTAATTGAGGTTATTTAAAAGCTGTTTTTCAAGTAAATCTATGCCTTTATAGAAGTTGTGCTATATGGACCAATCACCAAAGTTCTTCTGTGAGAACAGTGATTTATTTAAACACATGTTAAAATGTAAACATTTTTGGCTCGTTATGGAGTTGTTCATTAAAGTATTCATGTATACTCTGTCTTGGTTTATATGGTTTATTTTTTTAAAGTCAAAGGTAGAATTAATTATCAGCCTTGAGGTTATTAGTAAGAGAACAGTGGAGGGGGGGATTCACAGTACTGTCAGGGTACTACAGTGATGGAATTAGTAGGGTGTGACAACCACATTAAGTACTTCTGGATAACAGGCATTTATGAATGAAGTTTTAGTTTCACATTCATTCTTCTATGTAAAAGGATTCAGAAAAAACTTAGAATCAGATTCCTAATGTAAATTATGTCTAGATTTATAAATTCTAAGCATTCACATAGTGTACTTTTGATTTTTTTTCTTTGTAATTTCTATTCTCATTCAATTAATTTATGTGGCTTGTTTTAAAATTTGGAGGGAGGGATGGAGAAGTGAAGTGTTATTGTAATTCTGAACAATTTATACTTGATTCATGTTTACATTTTGGGGTTAGTTATACAAACTAAAAGTATTGCTTTAACTTCAGAGTTTTAGTTTTCTTGCTCTGTTATTGAAAAATTCTGTACTTATCACTCTACATGTTTTATTTTATTTTTTAGTATCTACAATTGTTTTCTATTTATCATTACAATAAGGCACATGTAAAAAAGGTTTTATTTCCATAGTTGGCTGCTGTTTGCTAGACTTCATGAATTATGATTAATGTGTTTATTTTTCTTTGAATTATTCTGTCCACATCTATTATTTAAATACCTTCCTTCTTTATTTCTACTTTATTAAAATATAATAAAATTAGTTTTACAGTTTTTGAGTAAGGGACATAAGTACTGATCAGAGATCATGTTAATTTAAAATTGTATGAAATTTTGTCTATACGGTGTGGCAGTTTTTTTTCTTCTTTTATTTGACATTCACGGTGTGGCTGGACATAACAGTAGAAGACATTGTATAATCATTGTCAATTGAAGTTCTTTGGTTTCTATATACGTTTTTCTTACAATATCTGTACAAACATTTAAGTATTGATGAGACCAGCCACAGGATATTCGGAACTGTGGAAAGGCTAGCTGAAACAGAATGAGTGGGCAGCCTTTGTACACAGTTTTTATTGTTTTGTGTGTTGACACTAATCAGAAGAGACAATTTTTGGTTACCCATGTGTTCATGGTATGCATCTTTTAAAACCATAATTTAATTTCTGCAGATCAAGTATGTTCAAGGTATTTTACTAACAATTGTAGGCAAAAAAATCATTTTTGGTTAAATTAGATATTTATGCCACACACCCTGCATGGTAATTTGTTAGTAAGCCTGATATTATTAGTCTGTAATTATATTATATATTAAAGGTTTCAGTGTAGTCTTAACAATTATGAAATAAAATATCTTAGCTTCTATTATATCAAATGTAGTAGTAGATAACTTATTTTATTCATTGTTATACCTCAGATTGCATACTTTTTTTGTGGTAATCAGTTTTTTCCAATTTCCTCTTCTAGTAATTGATGAATTCCTTTTTAGTTCCTAATTAATCACTTATAATTAGGTACTTTCATGTCTACTATATATTATAATGTATCTGCTGTAGTGCATGTTGCTTGACTTGTGTTTTTATTCTTATATTCAGCTGTCACGGTCTCTAGGAGAGTTGAGTCAAATCAGTCAACGATCTACTAAATCAGGTACAGATACTTGGAATTCTAGACATTTTAAACTACAATATTTTATTTTTTAGTAACTCCAGTTGTTTTCTATCTAACTATTGCTATAATAAAATTTGAAAAAGGTTGCAAATTTTACTTCCGTAGTTGGCTGCTGTTTGATAGATTTGGTAAACTGTGATCGATGTGTTTATTTGATATTTATATAAATATTAAGTACCTGATATGTACATGGTTAAAATGGCCATTTTATTTTTCTTTATTTTTCTTCCAGAAAATAGAACTAAAATATTTTCTAAAAACAAATTTAATTGTCATTATTATACTAGACACATCAATATGAAGGTATAAAAATTTATTTTATTCAGCTGAACTCTTTTTTTCAAGCAATGGAGTAAAGTATAATGAATTTTTTCTCTATTAAGAATTTATCTGCGGATTTCCATAACCTTTATTAATTTAGTTTGCGTGATAAGTTATATTCATGCTAACAATAAAAACATTTCATTTGCATAACCTCCTAAATGAATATCAAAAGGTTTTTTTTTTTGGTAAAACTGTGTTTTATCTCTTGTTTTCTCTACCATAACACTAACTTAGAGAAGTCATGAAAATGAGAAATACCCTGTATTGGCTGCAATGTTGATCAGAAAGTACCAAGTTACTATCTTAACAATTTCAACTATTATCCTTTTTCACTTCTATTTTCTTTTCATTGTATGATTTTATTGCCATATTTGTACCACTGGAACAGTAAACTTAGCATCAAAAATAATAAGTCTCAGTGGGAACCTATTAGCCATTTTATGTAGAGTTAACATGATCTTGTGTCATAATTTGTACTGGTTCTTAATCTAGGGTAACTTTAGATATTGTATTGTACTGAAATTTTGTTAAACTAAGCTGAGAAGTTTATAATTTTAGTTATCTCTGTTAAAAATAAAAAGTAAAAGTATGAATAAAAATATTTGTCGTTCTCTTCTGAGCCTGGTTGAGTCTCACAAATTTTGTCAAAAGAAATCAATATAGCTTTCAAATATGCATTTTAGAACTCAAAATATATCAGGCACTAGAAAAGAATGTCCCAAAACTACTTTAATTTACCTGGCTTTTTAAATAAACTATAAATAGGTTAAAGAATTCTATTAGCCATTCAGAACAGCAAAACAATGATCATATGGTAAGACATTTCTTTGAAGTAGATACTCTTCCTACCAAATTCAAAATGGCAGTTGCAAGCTTGATACAAAGGATAACTCGCTCTTTCTGTTAGTGTAAACATGTAAAGTTGATTAGCAAGTAATTATCAAATTCAGAGAGAGAGGAAAGGGGCTTCTCTGGTGGGTTTGACAAATTTATAGATATCTCAAGTTTGAAATTTGTTTTAATACTTTTTTTTTAAAATTACAAAGTTAAAACTTGAAGTATAAATTACGTTTTTATGCCAGTTGTTTTGATATACTTGATGGCCAGTGTTCTTTCTAAGCTGCGAGGCTGCTCAACAACCAATCAAGTGCCACGCACATCCTTGGTAATGGCAAGGAGTCTTAACACATTGATGGCCTTAATGACTCTTGCAGTTTATAGGCCTAAAGCCCAAATAACCAACTGGTAGCATTGCAAAGTGGCCTAATGATCCATTAGAGTCAATGGTTAAAAATACCTCCTCCCCTAAAAAACTGGTAGCACACATCCACACATTGCGTTGATACTAGTGCACATGAATTGAAAAAATTAGCTTGAACATTGGTTATGACATGCACATTTTGACCTGATAGCATGAAAACAGTTAAAAAACTGAACTTTGTTTCACTCTTTGTTAAACAAAGTATTTTCTTTAAGAATTGTATTCTACAATTAACACATTTCAAATTAAATTTGAACCTATTATCGTAGATTGTCATTGCAAACATACAAAGAGAAGTGGCTTGATTGGCACCTTCAATATGATAAATGAAATAATACTAAATAAATAGTTGTAAGTTTTAAATTCAGTTACTGAAGGAAACCATAATAGTAATCTGTAAAGATCTAAATTTATTTTTTGTTCTAGTGCTGTTTTTCATACCTGTTCAAATTATGCATCCCCAGTTCTTATATATAATGTTAACGTTTTTCAAATAATTGTATAAAGTTGCAAGTGCAATAAATTTCCAAAATTATCTATTCAGAAACTAACAACAACACATAAAATGATGTTCTTACATGTTACTTGATAAAACTTGCACTTCAGCAAGTTCTGTTTAATCAAATGTTTATAAGTTGTTTCATTATATTTTCTCGATTATTAAGTGACTACTGCAACTATTTTTATTACTATATATTTGAAATGATTGGTAATGAAAAATACAACTCCAGTTGACCTTTTACCTTGCAAGTACATTTTTGTATGTATTAGGAGTGTTTGATAGTGTGTATATTTGTCAAACAAATCCTTTTTTTTTGTCACATTATGAAAAATTTTTGTTGTTTCTATAGCAAATATACTTGTGTTAATCTTTTTATAATACTGCTTAAATGAACATTAAATCCTTTGTTCATTCTGACAGCTATATTGTTCATTAATGGCACACATGATGTTTATGGGATTAGATGCAGATAATAAATTGATAAATGGTTATGGATGACTTAAATGTTGGTCTTTTTAATACTAATATTTATTTAACTACATTGAAGTTCGCTTTAGATGCATTAACATAAAATGTCAGTTAAAAACTTAAAATTATTTAGCTAAGAATTCAAATGTCTGATCTTGTCAGTTTGAGATGTTATACTAAATATACGAAGACTGAATGAAAATGATTTATAAATAAATATACGTACATGTTGAGAGAGTAACAGACAGAAACAAGTTAATGATGTAACTGCCTAAAAGTTCTATTCTAAATGTCACTTTGATGCTCAGTAGTATTTTTTGGAATTTATGGTGTAATATTTAAGACAGTGAGAAGTTACTTTTACGTGTAGCAGATTTCTCAAAATAATAGCGTGGTATTCATAGCAAAACTACATAACAATGTTTTAGTAGCAAATTGTCAAACTAATTCATCATGTTTATAGAAAAGCAAGATAATTTCTTTTTCAGTATAGGCTGTATTATCATAAAAGTTATTACTTTAAACAGCATCTTGAGTCAATAATTTTATTTATGTGTTGAGATCATTATGACTCCTGTTCTTCTGGTATTCTAGCAAATTAATTTCTTATAGATTACTAGTCATGTGACAATCTGTTAATCTTCACTAAAGTGACTAAACATCTTATTCTATGTTTTCAAATACTTAGGTATTCGACCTGCACCTGGTTACCTTGCTAAAGCAATATACAACAATAGGTGTGATCCAGTTGCACGCTATCATCAATATAAACAATACTGGGACACCTACAAACCCCCTGGTGAAAAATCACGCAAAGATCTACGCTGGAATGTCAGAGGACAGATGCTAGAATATGACGCCGTTGTTAAGGTATACAATTTAACGTGCATGGAAATAAACATGTTAAAATATCATTTCTCTTAATTATATAAATAAAGAAGACAATTATGTTAGTCTTATTAAACATTTGAAAGAATAAAATACAACAAAATCTCCATATTTTTTATTTCTAATTACAAAATGTTAGCTTAGTTGTTTGAAGGTATACTTGCATATGTTAAAACTAATATTACATTTGATTTATTAGTTTGTATTTCTACTTAGGTCTGATTTTGTCCATTTTTAGAAACCGAATTTTTCTTGTTTAGGAAAAATACCATTGTGTTTCTTTTTTCTCCTTTTCAGGGAAGACCATTTCAGTATCCTCCGTATAGTTTATGACAGGAAAAAAGTCTGTTAGTAATTGATGATGAATGACAGGTGATTTGGTTTTACTAGAAAAAGTGAATGCAATATTGTCTTTTAACTCGCCTATTTGAGGTACACTGTAAAAATTTATTTTGTCTATTTGTTTTGTACTGTTGTGTGCATGTGTATGTATCTGCCTTCATGCTAATAATTTATAATGTGCAACAGTGAGAAATTTAACTTGGAAAATTTTTTAAATAATTGTGTGGGCTATTTTGAACAAATAAAAACTGTTTCTCATGATTTGCATGTGATTGACTTTAAAAGCAACAACTGTGAAAAATTGATAAATGTAACAAAATGAATTTAACCGGCCAATCTGCAAGTCAATGAAACTGCAGGTGGGCTACAGAAGTGTGTCAAGGTTTCTGTATTCAAGTTAGAACAACAATTTACTACCACTATAATGCATATCTCAGTAGTGTTCAGCAATGAAGATGCAGAGGTTATGGGGCTTGACTAGACTGTGTTCCTCTTTCAAAAAGTAGATGTATTCATTTTGGCATACCATAATTGGTCAATTGAAAAGCACTTATTAATATTAGACCATAATTGGTTTAAAACAGAGGTAAAACCATTGATTGGTCTATATTCTCTTCATGTGTCTTGCCAGCAATGCTATCTTGGTACTACTTGCTGCTTTTCTACAACTACTATTAGGTCGTCAAGAAATTAATGTCACGTTTTGAAACACTTTCATTAACCACAGCTCAAAAACGTACATCACGTATAATAGTTAAATGAACTGCCTAAATGTCATCTTAGTGTAGCTTATATAATGTGTAAAGTTTAGTATATTCTAATCCCTTATAGTGGCACACGACGAGACATACATTCGGCATGTAATGCTGTTTAAATACAAGAAGGGAAACAAAGAATATCAAAGAAGTTTATAGAAATGTTTTGAATGTTTGTATGTGTCAACGATAAATTTGCTGAACCACTAAAGTCACCTGAACCGTTAAAACTGTGATGGCAGGGGCCGACATGTTGGAATTGATACTGATGCTCTGAAGACGCTTGTTGAGTCGAACCCAAGGCAACACACTCGTGAAATGGGATATGGGAAAACCCCTTAAAGAAGATATTTGAGTGCCTCACGAACTCTCCGATGATCATTGTTTCCAACGTGTAAACGTTTCTTTGTCTCTTCTAGCGCGTAATGCGCGTGAACCATTTGTGGACTGAATTGTCACTGGTGATGAAAAATGAATTCTCTTTGCGAATATTAAATGACCAAAACGATGGCTCAGTCCTAGACAAAAACTACTTCTGACCCTAAAACCTGGACTTCATCTGCAGAAAGTGATGCTTTGCATTTGGTGGGAAATCAAAGGAGTAATTCATTTCAAATTCCTCAATCCACAGCGAACTGTCAATGTACAGATCTATAGTCAACAATTGGAACGTTTAAAACAAGCCTTTCATCAGAAATGCCCTTCACTCGTCCATCGTCAATTG